GAACGGTATGAAATGTGCCGAGGAGTATCTAAACTTTGTGCAACACAGTGGCTCCCAGCAGGTGGGGTGTATCCCCGAGGGGACGTCGGACAGTGTCTGAAGACGTCTTTACTTGTCACAGCCGGAGGAGGGGTGTGAAGAGATTGCTCCTGGCATCTACTGGCTAGAGGCCAAACCTCTAAAAATCAAATCCATTGCCATCAATCATCCGAATTTATGATGATGCTGTGTGGCTAGTTGTCATGGATTCAATCGTGAGCCTCCAAACATGTTAACACGGCTGGGCTGCAGTGCTATCTGTCTTGGATGTGACGCTGTAATGTGAATGTGATGAAGTACATGCTGAATTAATGTCATCACCCCATGATCACATCGTGGCTGATGTGAACAGCCCTGATTCCACGTGAGGGTGGGATGCAACACCCTTAATCCCACCCCAGCTCTAATCTGCGGGAAAGGGAGCAGCCCTGGGATGTGGCCTCCAATACGTTTTCACATATATATAGAGAGAGGCATCCACTTCCAAAATGGCTTGCCTCTGGAAACTCTGTGAACATGGAGAAACAATGAAAGTTATACAAGTGTTCAGGTCTTCCATTCATAGGGTCGCTATGAGTCATCTACAACTCGACAGCACTTAACATCAACTATATATATAGATATAGATAGATATCTATATCTCTCTAGATCTATCTATCTATCTATCTATCTATCGATCTATATCTATAGTGACCCTATGTACAACAACCCTAAACTCTGCCCTATCCTGTGCCAATCGCACCATCTCCGACACACCTGTCCTGATCCATCTCATCAAGGATCTTCCTCTCCTGCGCTGTCCCTCCACCCTCCCAAGCATGACGTCCCTCTCCAAGGACTGGTCCTTCCTTGCAAACATGTCAGATGAAGCTTCAAGATCCTTGCCTCCAAGGAGCAGCCTAGTTTCACTATCTCCAGGGTGAATCTCTTTGTTCTCCTAGCAGTCCATGGTACACTCAATCCTCTTCTCCAGCACCACAGCTCAAAGGCATCAATTCTCCTTCTATCCTCCCTAGTCATTGTCCAACTCTCTGATGCATAGTGTGTGTGTGTGTGTGTGTGTGTGTGTGTGTGTATGTAGATGTATGCATGTATATGTATCAATGTATATGTATCATATATGTGTGTGTATATGTGTATATGTGTGTGTGTGTATATATATAATAAAAGGAGGGAGAAATAAGCAGAGAATTGGTTATCCCTAAGAAAAAAGAACTTGGATAATGAATGGATCTGGGATTTTTGCCCCAAGAACTTCCTGAATCCTGGAGAAGACTGAGTCAGTAGTTCACGTGGAGATGTCTAAGGATGTCAAGAAGGCAAGGGTCCAGAGGAAACAGAGACAGGGCCCTTTGGCAAAAGCCAAGGATTCAAATGCATAGACTCTAGAATACAAAGGAACGGACCTCAGTACAGGCACAAGAGAAGAGCAGGGCGGGGCCTGTGTCCACTGGACCCAGGTGCACCTGCAGGGTAAGTCCTAGAATCTGGAGACACACAGACAGGAAGTCTTTCTGTAGAGCTTGGACCATGAACTTGGAGGAGAGGCCTTATAAAACTGTGAGAGAATGTCTTTCTGGTAAAGACATCCATCTGTGGGATTTCTGTCACAGCAACACTAGAAAACAAAGCCACCAGGGACAGTGCTAAATATCCTGCAACACACAGGCCTCCATTGCAAGAATATTGCAGTTCACGGTGTGACTAGGGCAGGAGCTGAGAAACTGTGGATGGTACAAAGTACCTGTGGCCTTGACCAAGACATGGGTCTTCTGTGGGATACAGTTTCTTCATCTAAACAGTGGTATGTATTATTCACCATTGCTGACAAGAGCACGGGCTGTTGTTACTGTCCCGATGGCATAATGCATCGTGTGTGAGGTTCCTAATAAAAAAGTCAGGGGTTCAAATCTGTGCCAGAAAGCTCTGGTTTTGACAGCTTTAGAAATCCCGCCAGAGAACCGTTGATTTTCCTAGTTCCTCTCTTCCAGCCTCGGATCGGTTGTCGGGATGGCCTGTGGAAATCAGAGAGAACTTGCCCGCCAGAAAAACTTGAAGAAAACCCAGGAGATTAGCAAGGGAAAAAGAAAGGACAGTTTGACTGCCTCTCAGAGAAAGCAGAGGGATTCAGAGATCATGCAACAAAAGCAGAAGGCAGCTAATGAGAAGAAGTCTTTGCAGACCAGAGAAAAATGAAGACAAGCTAATTTGGAAAACTTGGGTGCAATTGCCAACTAGGTGTATCGTATATCCTAAGATCAAGATTTTGCAGAGTGAACAGTCATTACATATGTTATCATTTATCCTTATAAAACAGTCTGTTTTAAACTTTACCTTTTGATCTGATTTAGTGTGATGTTTTAGAACTCCTCTTTGAAAAATAAAACACTAATCGTGCATGTAAAAAAAAAAAAAAAGAAATCCCATGGAGAAAGTCTCCCCGAGTTGAAGCTGAGTCACTAACTGTGTGATTTTGTGGGAGTAACTGTCTTTCTGTTCCACAGTGAGGGGACAGCATCTCATTTATGCTAATTGCTAAGAAATTGTGAGCTTTACTATTATTTCAGCACAGCAGATGAGGCTGGGGTAGGGAGAGTGACCAGCCAGGTCCTTGCTGCAGGTTTATGGTCACCTCGAGCCTGAAGCCAGCCCTCTGATCTGAGGCCTGGGGTTCCTTTGCTCAACGTCAGGTAAAGCATGACATGCTAGAAGCATCACTACTGACTGAACACGAATATGAACAAGGCCTAGGTGAGGTCCGGTGTCTCCTGAGCACAGCTGGGCACAGCTGCCTTTGAGATGGGAGGACCTACGTTGTGTTTTTTTTTTTTAAAAAAAAAAACTTCCTCCACCAGATATTCAAGCGCCTGCACAGAATTGATAAAGTTATATGGGCTATGCAGATCAGAAAATTATGTCCCAGAGGAGGAGAGAGCTGCGTTTGGAAATGTCAGAGCTCTCCATCGAAATGCCTCATTAAGCACAGCCTTCATATGTGAGGTTTACCGCTCCAAGTGGGAGCTTCCAGGAACACGCACATCGTCCCTCTGGGCTTTCTGAGAACAAGACGGGCAGCTTCAAGCCCATCTTATCAAGCCTTGGTCTGGTCAAGGGAAGGTGTCTGAGGTCACCTTGTAAATAAAGGCAGAACTACTGCTGACTAGAAGAAGAATAAACCGGGTAAGGAGGAGATGTGCTCACTTCATCTCGGAGTTTCCTCAAACAGGATCCAGCAGTGCTGGGATGAAGAGGCTGTAACTTTCAGTGGCATTGTCTTTCTCTCTCCAAAAAGGAACCCTTTCTTTTCACTGCCCCTCCCCTGGTGGTTGTTGTTAGGTGCCATCAAGTCAAGCACGACTCAGTGACCCCACGAACGACATATCAGAGCCCTGTCCTACCCCGTGCCATCCTCACCATCTCTGACATGAGTCTATGGCTGCAGGGACTGTGTCAATCCATCTGGTTGAGGATTTTCCTCTCTTTTGCTGTCACTCCACCTTCCCATGCACAGCAACCTTCTCCTAGCAACATGTCCCAGATGTGTGAGACAAAGCTTTATCATCTTAGCCTCCAAGGAGCACTCTGGCTCCACTTCCAAGAGATACCTGTTTGTTCTTCTGGCCGTCCACGGGATAGGCAGTATTCTTCACCAACACCACAGTTCAAAGGCATTAATTCTTCTGTCATTCTTATTGGCCAGCTCTCAGTAACACAGCAAGTGATTGAAAAGATCATGGCCTCAGTCAGGCACACCTTAGTCCTCAAACTAACATCCTTGCTCCTCAATAATTTGGAGAGGTCCCTGATTGCAGACTTCCCTAATACAATACATTTTCTGATCTACACCTCCTGATGTCCCTCCTACATCCCCCAAATATTCTCCCTGCCAACTTTCAGAGAACGTAGGGTCAAGTACATACATTATGAGACATACAAGAGCTCGTATCATGGTTTCACTGTTTACCTGAGAGGATACCGGGTGCCCCGACACACCTTCTCCTACCCTACCTTAGGCAGAGCTAAACCAGAGGCTGTCAAGGGAATTTGGACATGTTTTCATCTTAATAGGCTAAGTTTTGAGCTGCTAACAGACACTTCAGACTCGCCGGTGACTCCAGGGGAGGAGACGAGGCAATCTCTTCCCACTGAGAGTCGCAGCTTGGGAAATATGGCAGAAGGTCACTGTAGGTGTGAATTGCATCGATGGTGGTGGATTTTTGTTTGGTTTTGGGTGTTTCAGTGAAAGAATCTCCTTGACAGCAGCCCTGTACACTCTCACAGATAGGAAATTCACTCCCTCTGGGCAATCCGCTCCACTTTACAGTAGCAACAACAGTGGTCAGGATTTGGTCTGTCCCCTCAACAGCACTGAGCCTGCCTTCTAGAACCTTCAGGAGAAAAAGGGTTGCTGCCTGCATCACAAGGGTGGAGAATCTCACCGACAGACCTGCCCTCGGCCCTTATTTAAGAGCTGAGGTGTTCTCAGTCCTGAGTGATGAGCTGAAGACAGCCGGGACTTAAGTACATTTATTTCCACCATCTTTCCCTCTGTCACCCTGTGTTCCCTCATTGCTGGCTGAGCTGGTCCCAGCTCATGGGGACACACGGCACTTTCAGACTGCATTGCTGTGATCCTCAGAATTGTCATTGGCTAATTTTTGGAAGTAGATCACAGAAGTTTGGAAGGCAGAGACTGTGAGGATGGTACACCACAGGGCAGGCTGAGATCTGTTGGTCACTATGAGTCACAGACTCCATGGCACCTAATAATGAACGCTCTGTGAGAGGACGTCTTTCGATATTGTTACACCCATTGTACAGATGAGAACACTGAGGACCGGAAATAGTACGTGGTTGCCCGGTGGTGTGGAGCTTTTGGAGATGGACTGGGATTTAGGCTGGACAGCAAGGCCCAGATGTGGACCCTCCACCCCGCAGCCCCTGGGTTCCCGCAGCCTCACCGCATTGAGGCCGCACAGCTGGTAGCAGGCCATGGTGACGACCACCGTCAGGACCTGCCAGCGGACATAGGGGCTTCTCAGCAGCTCCAGGACCGACACCGGGCGGACGTTCCTCTGCAGGCGGCTCTCCGTTAGGACCTCTTCCACTTCTTGAGAGACGTCCTCCTTGCCCAGGAATGTCTGGAAGGCTGTGAACAGGGACAAGACGGAGGGACACTCTGTGAGAATACAGGTGTTTGTCATCTCATGCGGGCTGCATGGGCAGGTCCCTCACACCCCTCAGCGGGGACAGAGCTGCCAGGAGTCCTGCACCATCAAGCCTAAAGACCTCCTTTACCGATGTGAGCCACGGTCAAGTGCTCAGTCTTTACTAAGGTCCAGTAATAAGCCAGGAGCTGTTTCTCTAAAGGAGAGTAGCTATCCACAGAGGCTGCAAGGGCTCGGCTCCCAGATCCCAAGGGTCAGCTCTATGATTCACGTAACAGAGGGTAAGTGAGAACCAGAGGGACCAGCCAGGAGGGGAGTGCCTGAAAGCCACAGTGGGGAGCAGAACACACCCAGACTTTCGCAATATAGAGACCTGGGTTCACGGTCAGTCCTCACCAAGACATTGGAGCCTTGGGTTCATCTCCTGTAACTCTGCTTCCCTCACAAGGGCCTTTAAGACCTGGATGAGATCATGCATTAAAAATATGATTGAGTATTACGGTTAGCACAGGAATCCAGAATTAAGGTTGCATAGAGAAGTGTACT